ACACCTGAGTACACAACACCAACACAGAAAAATTCAGTTTCATATTATTCTAATAATTTACAGCATAGTAACACTAATATATGATGACGTTGATTAAATTAACTTTAAAAACTCATTAATAATTCATAAGGAAAATACAAAAGAAATCACTGCTGTGTCGTGTATATCGGATAAAGCTCAGAGATTGACAAAGACACTGCCACCTATAGCTGGAAAGCCCCATATATTTGTATTTGAGTTGGAACCTTTCTTTCTCCTATATAGTTCCCAAGTACAGTTCGTTTGTCATCTCTAATCCGACAGGACAATCTTACATGGCAGCAGAGACGACCTCAAATCAACTGGACCGCGAGAGCAAATATACAGGGAATCTAAATCAGTTATGGTTGTACACGCCCTCGAAGAAACTACTGAACTTAAAAACACTGGAGTGTCTTGATGGCAAAGATAATTTAAGGGTGGCTCTGCGTCGATGTACGGTCGATAGGAATGCAACACAGATGTGGCATTGCAACAGTTCTGCAGATAAGCTTTACGGCATTTATGACGGAGCAAAATGGTACTTAGATTTCACAAGCAGTCGCTTTTATATGGGATTTGATGCAAATTATAAATGGGTAGCGAATAAAGGCGCTGTCAGTCGATCAATATGTGATATACCAGATACATACAAAGGTTGGTGAATATGGTCTTCTATAGTGGTAGTATAATAGACTATAGTAGTAGACTCAGGGACGCCGGAACGATCATAAGGCAAAGGGGGGCGGACCCACAGCAAGGGCACTTCTCTAAAGCAAAACTTCAAAATCTTCTGAATTTTTTTTTTTTAATCAAAAAATTTCGGCGACCTCTCCCCCCCCCGTCGCCAAAAAAATTTCGGTCAGTGTACCATTTTAGGGGTCAAAATTTTTTTCCGGACATACCACAAGTGAAATATAAACTGTATTTGTCTGAATCTCATAATTTTCGTACAAACACCATCGTTCTAAATGTGATTTATCACGTATTTTTTTATAACTAAAAGGGCACTTCTGCCCCCCCTGCCCCCCCCTAGCAAAAGGCAAGGGGGGCAGCCGCCCCCCCCCCTGCCCCCCCAGTTCCGGCGTCCCTGGTAGTAGTAGGTTTATTCAACCTCCCCGTAGAACTTTTCAGGTTTAAATTACACGTCTTGGAATTTACAATATAAAAAGCGAATAGCTATTATAAGTTATTACAAATATTAAAATGTCAAAAGTACATTAAGAACCATGTACATCATAAAATCTAAAAAAATAAGTTCCTTTCAAAGTTGAAATGTTTGAAAACTTTTCATGAAGACGTTTCTTCACTGGTTTCTTAAATTGGGGTAAAGATATTAACGTTTTTCTCCTGTTCTTCAAGCGTATTCCAAAGTTTCTTCTTCAAGCGTACGTCTTATTCGAACATCGCGCGTGTCATCAGCCGAATGCGAGTGAATTCAAAGTAATGATCGAGTTTTGGTCATTTATCTGACATTCGAAGTTTGAAGTAGGCCAAGTATTCACTCTAGATATCGTAGACAGCTACCCGCTGCTGTAACCAATCAGATTACAGGAAATCAAAAATATCACTAGGCATGCACGAATAAAAATAATAAAATACAAGTATTTTTCAGCACACAATCCGTAACAATGTGATTACAAAATTCACGATCCGTCTCGTATTGGATCATGCTCTACTTTTATACGGTTTCCTTGCGTATTAAAACTCACATTCAACAACTTGCCTGAAAATTGTTGCATTCGTTGGTTTCAGGAGTATTTCGTTAACTTTCTCTTCGGTTTATGTATAGGGTCATCACGAACTCCATAAAATAATAAGAACAAGTTGTGTGATTTGTTCGTTATATAAGAAAACTTTACCAACGACTTTCTAATGAACTAATCACAAACACTGATAACTTTTGCTAACGGAAGTCACAACATATGTGCGAGCTATAGCAACGTGCTTATTAAACACAGCCTTAGTCCAAGACTGAACCATGGTCGCTTGGATTCTTGTTTTCATGTCCATCGCCAGTCAAATGATATTTCAATCTTATTTTACGCAGTCCATATTTAGCTTCTTCATTTTCTGCCATTCCCAGTTCCCCTCTAGGTTCGGCTTCGTACAGCCTAGTCCCTCGGCCTCTTAGTACGCCTATTGCGCGTTTCTGCACATTAATGAGGTAACGCACGTAAATCAAAAGCTTGCACAGAGGACTTGGGACTGGTCTGGGCTTCGTAATTACTCTGGCTGGCTCCCCTTCAAATCATCTCTTCTTATTAACATAAAAAACAAACAGGTTTGACAAGGTCTTCTTCTTCCCGCGTGGGCCTGCATTCAGCTCCGTGCGCCAGTTTTTAGATTTCGCATTTCAGCATCACCATTCCATTATACAGGATATTTTTTTAACTATTTTGATAACATTACGCAGCTTGTGGTTGGACAATTCAACCAAACCATAGGTGCTCGACAACCAAAGCCTATAAGGTTTAGTTATTGGTGATGGGAGAAAATCTAAGGATCCGAAGAAAAAAGCCATGGAACAGGATAAACAATCACAATTATACATAGGTTTTCAAGCATATGGGAGTTACAGAACTTGATTAAATTCCTTACCCTCGACCTAGTAGGCTTACAGTAACACAGCAGTAAGAGGCCGCACGCTAATCACATCCGCTCCCCATATGTATACTTTTATCATGACGCAGGTATTGACAAGCTCAACTTCTTTCTCTTGTAAGGATGTTACAGATTTACAGATGGTACCTCGGTAAAAAGATTCAGCAGCAAACCGCAGCTCAAAAACTGTACAGGAAAGTTCGATGGTGACTGCTTCCAAAAGTATAAAATTTCGGCACCAATTTTCAGTGGTGATGGACACAGTTCTAATTGTTCTATAGTTTGGCAGGAATCTTATTTTTCTGTCAACGACCAGCCTTGGAAAAAATTCCGGTGGTATGAGAATAATTTTCACCACGGGGGAACTGAGTTACAACCTGGAGTGATAGAATTTGAGGTACGTTTAGAACTTACAGTAACTAGCATTATTTGTACTGTGTTGCTCCTAACGGAGTTCTAAAGTGGTCCCCCAGAGTTACAGTAACTCACAGTAGTGCTTCTCATGGTACACCATGAACTGCAGCATGTTTCAACAACACACCTCTGTGTATTTATCTTTTTTAAATATGTGTTCTTTTTTTAATCATTTCTTATCACTGAATGTTTTGGTAGGATTGTTTTTGCTTCGTCTCTGCATATTTCTTTGGTGTCACGAAGCCGATAAAGTGAGCTGCTCTCTGATTTCATTGATTTGTTGTGCTTGTTTCTCTTAGAAATTTCTACTCACACAATTAGTCGCCTGAGGATCGGTGATTACAAGCCTATAGTCACTTTGCTTGCGGCTTATCCATAAGCTTGTCATCAGCTCGTCTTGTGGGACTATTTGTTAGTTTATCCAATAGGAAACTTACACTAAACTAACTTACTTTATGCTGAAAAGCTCTATTAGTTTTCAACTGTTTCCGTACAGATCCAGTGTGAGGTATGTTGTTCCACTTCCAGTCTAATGGCAGGAGAAAATATTAGAACCTACGGGATCAGCGATCGAACATATATAATCTTGATTAAACGATTGTTAATTGTATAAATACAGTATAAAGATAATGGCGATGCTCAATTTTTTCCAGCTGTTTATCAATCTAGTTCAAAATCTTAACGCCAATCATGATTTTGTGTTTATAGTTCCACGAGGACGCGAAAAGAGTGTGGGCAGGTGCATTGATGAAGCTCGAGGTCCATTGTCAAGATTACAATCCTTTCACGCAGAAAGCGGCATTTGAAAACCAGTGTATGCTGCTGAAGTTTGATGGAGTGTTTAACGAGTCATTACACAAGGTACCGTCATGTATGAAATTTATAAGGGCCTGTTCACATCAGACCGATTGGATGGGAAGTTCGCCTTGTTACCAACGCAAGTTAAACATAATTCGTAAATATCTACTGAAAAATAACTTCGAACTCGGCTTCTTGCACTGGAAATTTGCCGATGTAGAGTGAATAGTGCAGCCGATTAAAACATATACGGTAAACATAATTTCTTTTTCTAGACAGCGAGCATGTAATGTAGAGTATTTTAATTTTCCATTTAAAAAAAAACACAACTGATACAGTTCAAAAACGAACTGTGCAGATTGACTTGCGACTTTACTTGGTCACAGACAAAACGACTTGTGACTTTACTTGGTCAACGACAAAACGACTTGTAACTTTACTTGTTTGTTCTTCGTTTCCAACTGGCTTCAATTTTCACTTCTACCTGGTATGAAGAAAGTTTGTTTTCTAACCAAAATGTTATACTCCACGTTGTTATACTCCTTTTTAGCATCCTCCAACACACCATTCAACCAAGACTCACGAGGTACCGTCATGTATAAAATTATAAGGGCCTGCATGTTCACATCAGAGCGATTGGATAGGAAGCTCATGCACCTTGTTACTAACGCAAGTTAAACATAGATTCGTAAATATCTACTGAAAAATAACTTCGAACTCGACTTTTTGCACTGGAAATTCGTCGATGTAGATTGAATAGTGCTGCCGATTAAAAAATATAAACATCGATTGCTTTTTCTAGACAGTGAGCTTGTAATGTAGAGTATTTTAATATACCATTGATTTCTCCAGTTCATTTTAAAGAGAACTGTACAGATTGACTTTCGACTTAACTTGGTCGCAGACAAAATGACTTGTGACTTGACTTGGATTGGCAAGAAATGATTTGTCTTGACTTGACTTGGACTCTCAAAACGAGACTTGTTTTTTCCAACTAGCTTCAATTTTCACTTCTACCTTGTATGAAAAAACTTCGTTTCCTAACCAAATACACTCCTTTTTAGCATCTTCCACCGTCATGTATAAAATTATAAGGGCTTGTTCACATCAGACTGGTTGGATGGATGCTCACCTTGTTATCACTGAAAAATAGCTTCGAACCCAACTTCTTGCATTGCAAATTTGTTGATGTAGAGTGAAAAGTGCAGCCGATTAAAACATATAAACATAATTTATTTTTTTTAAACAGTGAGCTTGTAATGTAGAGTACATGTATTTTAATATATGATTGATTTCTCCAGTACATTTTAAAAAGAACTATACGCAGATTGACTTGTGACTTCACTTGGTCACAGACAAAATGACTTGTGACTTAACTTGGATTAGCAAGAAATGACTTGACTTGGACTCTCAAAATGAGACGTATTAAAAACTCTGTTCTTCGTTTCCAACTGGCTTCAATTTTTACTTCTACCTGGTATGAAGAATGTTTGTATTCTAACCAAAATGTTTTATTCCATTTCTTTTTAGTGTCTCGCAACACACCATCCAACCAAGACTCCAGATTGGCGCAAGGGTAGACCAGAATCATCAAACCCAGACTCAAGATACAAATCAAGTGCTATTGCACTATCCGTCGTATTGGCTGTGGTCCTTCTTATAGTGATAGTCGTCACTGTCATGGTATACAGACGGCACAGCACACGAGCGTGGGTAGCCACAAACGGAGTGGATGACGACGTCTCTGCAAAACCGTTTTGTGACACTGAGGACCGTTTTTAGTTTGAAGAGATCGAGGAAGAGAAAGAACGCACTTGCACACCGAAAGCACATGATCAAGCCATGTCCATGATTAAGGTATGACGGTGGAAGTGACACATTTGAAAATCAATGCAGTGCTAAATGATGTTAGAGACATCCCTAATCAGTTGGATATTCTTAGAAACATGTTTTATATTACAATATGCCTAGGTATTATTTTAAATAGCGATCTTACTGTAAATATCGGTAGGATTGTAAAAATGCACGGGCATCGATCGACGATGACACGGTTTGGAATCGGTAAATCACTACTGTTTATCGTGCTGTAAACCTTATATTATAACATACTAGAAATATTTATTAATTAATTAAATAAGGATGCAGAAGTTGCTGTGAGCATTGGCAGCGTAAGATTAAGCTACCGGGTTGCACGCTGCAATCAATCGTGTACGATTCGTTTTCTGGCGTATGTCATTGAGTAAACACGCGTAATAAGCTGGCTACACTTGAAATTTATTTTTAACGAAACGGCAATGAATTATGGCGTCAGTATTCATTTTAATACGCCAGAATACGAATCGTATACGACAAATCGTAGCGTGTAAACGTAGCTTTATATAGCTTGAGATAGAAAACTTCTGTTGTACAATTTTCCGTAGCTATAAATAATAGAATTTAGTTTATTGGTACATTTTCCATTGGTGATGTGCAACCAATTCCATGGGATTCAAATGACAAAGAGATTTTCGCCATGTTGGATGATATTTGCATTACAAACAAGCACAATCCTTTGTCAATATCATCCAACATGGCGACGGTGACGTAACGGCAAAACAAGACAAACCTTGACTAATCTCTCATCCATTTTCGACCAACTTTGCCCATGGGCAATTTCCATTAGTCGCACAAATTTTCATATTTTTTAACTTTATCGTGCTGACAGACAGATACACATATACAAACGCGGATAAAAACATATGATAAGTTCCTGGTGGAGTTTTCCAGAGATAGATATGTGGGATAGAAACCAATATCCATCCTCATTAGACATGATCCACATGCTAATTGGATTATCGTAGACGAGCTACACGCGTTCCCTTTTATATATGAACGAAAAGAATTTGATTGGAATTCCAATAATCAAATCCGCCAGTCTTTAATAGTATCATGTAATAAACATCTTTTTGGATTAGAATGTCAAGACATGTCACTTTATCGTATTATTAAGCAATAACTCTAAGCACATGTCGGTCATCTGCTTTGAATTTCCCGAAAGGTACAACAATCTTATCTCGTTTGAATTTCTATTCCTGGTTGTTTTTGACATATCAGTTACATCAGAATACATTGCAGACTTGGCATATCATCCTAATAACTAAGTTGTTGACCCTAGAAGAATATACGTTCAGGTCAGATCAGTCTTTTGCTCCGGTGCGAGTGAATTTGAAAAATGTTAAAACCTCTTGGGAGATTGTACTGTATTCTTGGAATCGGTCTGGTGGTATTTAGCGAAGAATACACCGACGGATCATTTGATGTTATTCGTGGTAAATTTAGGGATCAGTTTGTCAATTCGTTATGCACAAGGGAAGATTGTCCGCCGGTTTCATGCGAGAGTTATAATGCGGTGTGTGGCTCTAAGGGTTGCCAATATTGCGTGTGTAATAAGGATAACCAAAGTACCACGTATTATCATAGCAATGACAGCGCTAACGGAAAATGTATGCCAGATTCAGTCATAACAAGAAATGCTGGTAGGTTACGTAATACATTAAGTATTTCAAGTCTATTCTAATTGTAATCATCTGTTGTAATCATGCCTGCGTGCAGTCTCGATTAACAGCGATGTTGGGTCTGCTAAAGCAGAACAGAAAGCTTGTTTCGGCACATGGATTCACAACAAATAAATAAATTGGTATCAAATCATTCAGTGAATTGAATCAATCGATTTTGCCATTGGCGTTCGGGGCTGATGCTTTCCAGGGAGGCAGTTGAAAGTTTGCCCAAATTTTTATGGAGGATTGTAATGAAATTACCTGAATTTCACCTATTGTGATAAATCTGCCCGAATTTTCTCGCAATTGCTCCCGCAGTTGCTCCCCATGCCCCTGTCTCGTACGCCAATGGATGCAACCTCGTAAGCCAGGATCTTTTACTTCCGCACGGCACTTGCAGGTTGTTATGGATGTTGCACAGTACCGTAGCAATATTTATATGCATCCCAATTGGCCTGGTTAATGCCCGCTCAATCCAATTCAGGCGATGTTGGACGATGCTGAATGAAAACTTTGAACCATTTATAATTGTCAAACCTGATCCAACATTAGCTAACATTACCTACCATGATGATGTTTGTGATGTTACTCTGAGTGTATATCCACACCGGGCGAGCTTGAAAAATATGCCCGGCCACGGTGGGAATCGAACCTACGACCTTTGGAATACTAGCCCAAATGGGACTCCGCGTAGCTCCGTTGGCAGAGCAATTGGGCTAGTATTCAAAAGGTCGTAGGTTCGATTTACCACCGTGGCCGGACATATTTTTCAAGCTCGCCCGGTGTGGATATACACTCAGAGTAACATCACATACATCATATTCTCCTGAGTACACAACACCAACACAGTTAGAAAAAATTACCTAAGGGGCCATTCACAAAGGATGTGAATTGGTATCGAAGGAACTAGATTCTGCTCCGAAATATCATTTACTCGAACTTACCTGACCGCGTAGCTCAGTTGGCAGAGCAATTGGGCTAGTACTCCAAAGAGAGTAACATCACAAACATCATATTCACCTGAGTACACAACACCATGCAACAGAAAAAATTACCTATTAACATATAGTGTTCAAACAGACCCAATAATGTATTGTTCTTATTTGTTCCATATAAAAACGTAGGAAGATGTTGAATCAACGGTTTGAAGAGACATTTTTATGAGCGAGATTCAAAACAGAGCAGACGAGTGAATGTGTAGCAATGAGTAAATCCATACGGCTATACCTAAGCCTTACCTATTCGAAGTACAAAGTTGCTTGAATTGACATAATAATATTTTATATACTATTCAAAAATCATTAATAATTCATGAAGAAATTATCCAATCTTGAGTAAGAAATTAGTCACGTGCATACGTCTTTATACCAGCTAAAGAACACTTTAACAAAAGACCATTGTTATGCAAACTATGTAAAGATTTTTATATAAAGATTTTTATATAAAGATTTGACTTGTTATGCAAACGTTTTTGAAGCCATTTAAAAAGCTCGCAGGTCGTGTTTTATTAGGTCTAAAGCCACTCGCGCTGCGCGCTCGTGGCTTTAAACCTAATAAAACACTCCTGCTCGTTTTTTAAATAGTACATAACATTTTTATAATCGTTGAACACTTTTATAAACTCATAATGCATTGTTTTGCAATATTCGTGTAGGTTGCTTTAATTCCTGTGATGGACACTCTATACACACTTTAGACACGAGCTGTAGTGAACGTTGTATTGAAAAAGTGAAAATTTCGGGCGTCAGTGGTTCTTCAAATACAAAATGTATTCTTGAGTGGGTTAGCTCGTCGTTTTCGATCAATAATCAATACTGGAAACCCACTGAACAATTTTTGAATGATTTCTCACTTATGTTTAATAATACTGCAAGCCCAGAAGAACTGTACATGAAGGTAAGCAAACGCTAAAAGTCAGACATGCTCACAAACAGGTTTTTTACCTCACAGTAATTTGTGCGTGAGCCTTTCAAACCTTGTGACTGGGATTCAAATCCTGCAATAATGCAAATGTCTGATTATACTGGTATTTAAATTTCGCTTCAATAGCATGCAGGAAGCCATACACCTTTATGGATTTGCTTTGGGAACCCCGACTGGTTCTCTCCTAGTGTAAATAGTATAACATTGAACCGACGTTGAAAGGCTTGTTGGACCTCTACGGAGAACACTTTAGAACTAATGGAGCTATCGGGGGCTTTAGCCTGCGAACAGGCTCTCAAGCTGAATTGAGAGCCTGCATCGATGACTAATGAATTTGAATATCTGCGTCTCAAATCGTGACGCGAAATTCTCATTGGTCAGATGCTATAATTTATATTATTCCGCTGAGCTCTATATATGTCAACTAGCAGTTGAACACTATGCATAAAAAACACATTAACTGATCAAATTGGTCTTGGCCATCTTATCTCAAAGCACGAAATGTTCTGTTTTGAGAAACAGTATTTAAAACATTTAAACTTTTGCTTGAATATCTTATATTTCGAAAAACAGTATAAACTGTACGGTCTAAATTTAGTTTGCACGGTCTAAATTTAGTTTGCACGAAAGTTGTAAACAACACCATATAAGGATAGACATTCCATATTTGGAAAAACGAACGTTACGGGGCAGATATTCAAATTCATTAGTCATCGATGCAGGCTCTCAATTCAGCTTGAGAGCCTGTTCGCAGGCTATCGGGGGCTTGGGTGGCGTAATCATCATTGCAAGCGCCTTTCGCAGGATCTGAGATTGTGGTTTTCGCAGCAAACACGTGACACTTACGTGAAGAATCGGTCAATGCTCTACCGAGAGTCGCGGGTTTTCTCCGGATACTCCGATTTTCGCCCACAGGAAATGTTGGCAAGATGGGATGGGATTAGCCTCGAACTGACCCTTCCACCGTAGCAGTTGTCCGAGAGCATAAGGTGGCTGCCATGTAGAGGCACCTTTAAAAAGCCTTAGACTGGATCAGGTCCATAGATATCTTATATAGACTAGATAGCGCATCTCTTTTAGTAAAATTGAAGCCAAGAATATTCCAGCGGTTACCCCCATTTGAATAGATGGCGGCCATGTTGGTGTTTCCCACTCGCTAATAAACGCTTAAAAAACAACAATAACTTTCATCATTTGAATAGTTTAAAAATGTATTTGGAATTGGTTTACCTTAATATTTAAGTTCCGTGTTTAAGAAATAAAAAACATACGAATCTTCTCATTTCTTGGGAATATCCTGAGTCTGCAATCACGGCTTCAATTTTGAATTGTAGAATAATTAGATGCACTATCTAGTGTATATAAGATATCTATGGTCAGGTCCTTTGCAATTGAGCTTAGGTCAGTTGCATGTAAGGATGATTAGCATGCAACCCCACTGACCCCACTTACTTATCCAATATAAAGTGATCATGAGTTTAGGTTAGGTTTTCTATTGTTGTAACTCTGGACATTAAAGAGAACTTTTTGGAGAGAATATTTAGAGCTATATATAGAGCTATACAATATAAAGCTAGTTTAGTTAGGCTAAAAGAACGAAGTTAGTCGTTTACCTCAAAACAACTGGGAAACGTGAACAAAAGACTGAGTTCTTTCAGTTTTACTCAACCAAGACGCATTCCTCCCAGGTACTTTTGTTTCCTTCTGCAGTGAGAATTGACTAGAATCAAATAAATCTATCTGATGAAACTAATCAAACAAATAAATCTATCTGATGAAAATAACCTCTATGATAGACTACCTTGTATGAAATAATAATTGTTTTTGTTTGTGGAAACACCACGTAAATTTATTACTGCAGTAATAAATAATAAATTTATATTATTTAATTATTATTATTTATTTTATTATTATTATTATTATTTTATTATTTATATTATTTAATTTATTTGTATTTTTTGCAGTAATAAATTTACGTGGTGTTTCCACAAACAAAAACAATTATATTTTATCGCCATGCAAACATTCAAAGAACTTATTATACCTTGTATGGTTTTAAAATCTTTTCAGATTAAATCAGAAATTTAGATTTCTTGTTTTAAAGTTTTCATAAGACGGTAAAGTGGTCCTTTATTTCAATTCAGCTAAATCTGGAAGCGTACAAGCGTTGGGCAGGTGCATTGCTAAAACTACAAATTGAATGCCATTCTCCACCTACTCAGCCATATTACAGTGAACACTTTTGTATTATTTTCAAATTTACTGGCAAATACACACCCTATCAGGTATGTAATAATGTAAACATCAGTAAATAATACTAACGGGGCAATCATGACAAAGTGTTTATTCCTCACTACAAGTTGTTAGAAGATGGGACTCACAACTTGCTGGCGTGTTGCTGAAATGTGAACCGATTATTGTAGAAAATGTAATAACAACTTGCAGCAAGAAATACCAACATTAGCTATTTGAAACAACTTGTAGCACGTCGGTTAAGTCATCAACCTTGTTGTGAAAAGTTGTTGTCGACTAGTTTTTGACAAGCTGGGTGCAGCCGTGCGAATACGCAACCTTGTATATTGGCCATACAACTTGTAACAAAATAGTCTTGTTGCAGTGATGAACATACGTGTGGTGTCCACAAACCAAAACTTGTACAGTATGTAGCAAATCTGTTCAGTCAACGCGGGTTGTAGCAAGTTGTCCGGCAAACAAGTCAGTCACTGATGGCTATTCAACTGCATGCATGACAACAATCGGAGAACAAGCTGTGCGAACTTGATCATCGGCTAGTTGGAACCAACTTGTTCCGAAGGCCGATTTGCACTACAAAACCTTTGCTTAAAACTGTCCGGCATGCAACTACAATTTGAGTTGTATACTGTGTAAATCAAGCACACAATTCGGCGAACTCGCCTACGTTGTCGTAGGTGAGTTGTGTGCTTGATTTACACAGTACAACTCACTGAAGTTGTAAGCAGGTTGCATGCGACAGTTTTAGGCAATCGTTGTGTAGTGTGAATCGGCTTTTACAAGTTTTTTGAAGCATCAGTAATGTGAGAAATCCGGAACAAGTAGTCGTTGAAAGTTATTAGAGAGCTTTAGATTCGACTACGAGTATGACTACGATTAAAGATTCGTTATTTGGATACGCCATCTTCTTTGAATCTTGCGCCGTCATGTGCACTGAAGCCCTATAAATCTCGTGGCCGTGGCCAAATTGAAATTCCCGTGGTCAAAGCAAGCATCTACTATAAGATGACGAGCATGTGCAAGCAACCAATCAATCGCGTAGTCGTACTCGTAGTCAAATATCTAAAGCAAACACATCTTCTGCAATCTTGTAACTATTTCCGCTATCTAACTGTAGGCAATTATCAAATAGTAATACAAGCTGTACATTTTCACAATATTTAGGCTGCTACTATTCTAACTGAAATACTGGTCAACCCTACAATAAACTCAACACTGGGAATCACACCTCTTAATAAAGGAATGCGAAAACCCGGAGATCAATACCTAGCAAGTACTATTGCTCTATCAGGTATTCTATTCCTAGTCTTCGTGTTTCTTGGTTTTGGAATTTTTCTCTTATTGCGAAATAATGATCGCCGATCCTCGGCCGAACACACATTGGAAACCGACACCGCGACGACACACCAGGAAGAAATACAGCTTACAGTATAAAAAAAACAAACAACTAGAGCAACAGTGAAGTTTAGTTCTGTAAAGTCATTCAGGACTGACACTGTTTCGTCCCATGTAAAGCAATCCCAGACAAAGTCGGATTCCGTGTCCTGACTTGTGGGTTCCGGATTCTATCCTATAAGAAAAGCAATGGATTCCCTTATCTGGATTTACCTGGATTCCGGATTCCATCAACAAACTGGATTCCAGATCCAACTGTATGAACTTCGGATTCCATGCTCTGGATTCCGTATTTCAAATCGTAAATTTTTCTGGATTTCGGATTCCTTTACACAGGACGAACTGTCATCCGATATTTATATGTACCCGAGAAGTACCAAACTGCCTGACGTGGTGCGTTTACACCGGGTACCTACAATCTTGGACATATGATTGCCTGAGTGAGTCTGCCTTTCCTCTATACAAAATCCCCCCCCCCCACTCCCCCTTACATGACCTTCACTGCCCCAAATCAATGTTGAGCTTGTGTCATGGTAAACTAAGGTGTTTCGGTGCTGTGCGTTCTCAACATTGAACTGGGGAAGAGGCTTGTAATCTCTCAAGTATAATGTTCTGTACAGTAAGCCGAGAAGTCAACTGACCCTTTTTTGCAAAATATGTTTATTATTTAAATTTCTAAGTATATAAACTAACCATAGACATAGCAAATAAATGTAAGCGTTCCTCTATTGTATATTTTAATTTTAATATTATTGCACTTATTCTAATTAAACTGATTATATAAAAAACGTATTTGATATATGTATGCCCAAATTATTGTCTATGAATTGAATAAAATAGGTCAAACAGCTTTCCTCTCAACTGATTAATTCATTTAATTGTATTGTGTCCGCCCAGTACAATTATGTGCCAAACTTTAAACCCTAATATGCGCATCTTATCCTTTGAAAAAATAAGTTGCGATTAAAAGCATCTCGAGTCCTTACAGCCTAAATAAGGTTTACTCCTACCAACGCCTAAATAGGGTACATTCATAGGGTGCATTCATAGGATGCATTCATAGGTTGTATTCATAGGGTGCACTTCTACTGTTGTACATGTGCACCTCGCTGCTGCAAGGCCGAAGCTAAATGTTCATATTTACTCTTCCAGTCGTTACGTTCTAGTTTCGCTAGCTGCAAATCAAAACTTGTACTGGCAAATTCTTTTTCCAAATCCCCCTTACTTCTTTGCAAGGTGCTTGTCTCAGTATTCTTTTTCTCACGACACGACCGGGCGTACCCGCGATTCTTTAAAGTTCTCCTTCGATGTTTGATCGCTTGAATGGTTGTTTTGGGTAGAGACTTCACGCGCCTATTAAGTTCCTTTGTATCAATAGTTATTAACTCATCATCCTGAATGTATTTATTTGTGGTAGTCGGAGATAGGGATGGTACTTCGGCTTCGGGGCTCGGGACTGGACTAAAATCCACAAAATTGGTTAAAAATCTTGTTTCGCTTCGACGTTTCCTTGTTCTTGCAGTCCGATAACCATCGCGTCCTGTTAGGCTGGACAATTGTATGATCTTTTTGCTGGAAACCAAATTCGTGGTACTGAATTCGCCAACACCAACTGTGTAATTTGTATTTTCCCTTTTAGGCTTTGGATCCGTTTGGATGCAGTTCACGTTTTCTCTCTCATCATTGCTGACTAAGCCAGAATGTTTAAGCTTCCTCATTTCGAAGTAAGCGGATTCGACAGGTCGATCTTTGCACATTTGGAGAATATTTTCGTCCAAAGGTTCATCAAATGCTTTCACAAAACCATCTATCTCATCACTCTTTGTCAAAGTCTCGGATGAATTTCGATTTTTAGGGCTTATTTTACATACACCCTCTCTCACGAGGTCAAAGTGCTTGGCCTTCGAAAAGACGAAGTCGTTACCGATCAATTGACCGTTATTCGTATCATCTTCTTGGCTACCGGTAAAGTCATTTCGATTCTCAATGTTCAAATGCGAAATACTGAGTCCGTTAGCTAAACCTTCGCTGCCGGTTTTATCTGGAAACCCCTCGCTCGCGTCGATTATTATTTCACTGTCGATAAAACCAAACTGTGAACTGTTTCCAACTGAAGTAAACTCGTTCAACCAAGTCGACGTCAAATTCGGAAACGGAGTTTTTTTCGTGCCATTATTGTTGTTCATTTCGTCTTCAAGATTCAAAGAGTAGCCAGACTCAACTGCGTGAAAGCTTTGCCCGTTAAGTTGTGATATATTGAAGCCCAGTTTGTTCTCAATCGAGTTATAATTTGAACTCTGTGCCTCTTCCATTGTTTCTAAGAAGTATTGCGGACGTTATAACAACCAAACGTTTCTAGCAGGGTGACAATTTTTTAAGTTTAAAGGCGTTTTAAAATCCCTTTCGAATTCACGACGTTCATCCCACGAAGTGCTTTTAGGGAAATACATTTTCCCCTTTTATGACCTATTTTATATCTGAGGATCGCGGTCATGTGATTGCCATTGAAACAGCATTAACCAATGAGCGACCTTGATAAAGCAAGACTATAGCCCAGTACATCGCTTCTAGTGTATGGCGCACATGATTATAGGTAAGACTAGATCAATACATTGCTTCTGTCTGTATGGTGAAATGAATAGCTTTTTTTAATTAAATATTATCATTCGCCATACTGTAGTTCGTGGTTTTATTTCCTGCATTATAGATGTGCATAATTCGTTTTTTTGTTTTGATAGATGACTAGAGTTACAAAGGTTTTTCCCCGTATGAAACCGGTTAACCGTGGGCGTAGCCGTTGTTGTGATTCTAAAGTTTTATCTGACGTTTCCACAAAGAAGTTAAAAATAGCTATCAACTACGACCTTACAAATTGAAACTCTATTTTTCAGCCACAACTTGTATAACACGATGGTTGATCAGGGCCGTGCCAAGCGGTATCTGGTTGGAGGGGGGGGGGCTGAATTCAAAAATTTGGGCCCTCTTCAAAAATTTTTCACAAAAGCAAAAAATTTTCCGGAAAATGTTGTCGATTGATGCTGTAGAGCTTTAAAATATACGCACAAAAATCCCCCACCAGGTTACAGGAACAATTGATTCGCCGACTACAATCACTTTCAAATGTGTTGGGACAGATGCCCCAACTGCCTTTTATTTTGACAAACTTCCATTCCCCCACCCCCCTTTCAATGTTGGGTCCCGTGGTCTCAGTTAGCCTCTCACTTTGGTGTGATCAGGTAAACGCCTTGTAATCCTCTTTTAGAGGCGTTAGGTAAACAGGGAGATAAATAGATAGAAAAGGGAGGGTGTGGGAAGTGTCCCAACAACTTTTTGAAAATGATTGTAGTTCAATCAACCAATCAGTGTAAGCCAAATTAAGCCAAAGCCTGACTTTGGCTTGCAGTGTGAACATGGCTTAGTGTAAACAGGAATTAACTCAAGGGAATTAAGACTAGCACAAAGCATGTAGCGTTGCATCATTATTCTGAATGAAATCTTTAACTTGCTAAGTGTTGGCAAAAAACAGTCGAATAATTCTTGAACTTCATAATTACTGAACTAATTCTTGTGCAGTTCGGCAATTAAGTTAAAAAAATTAGGTATTAATCATTGCACAATACAAGTATGGTGCATGCACATTTAATACAGGGACAAACAACTGAGGGCGGGGGGCTACCTCGTACTGTGAGTTGAGGGGTAAGTACAGAAAAGGGACGGTCATTTCAATTTTTGGTACCAGTAAATGTTCTGTTCAAATCTTAAATGTGACGATCCAGTGGAAGTAGCCATGGGCGTGGCGGCAGTACGTTTTTTGGCTGAGTCGGTTTTCTGTATGGTCTCTCGTCTGTGACTTCGCGTTAAAGTTTTTGTTAGATTTTCAGAAAGTTTGATGATCGGCTGTAATCCCTCAAGTACAGTATAATGCCCTATACAGTTCAACTTCGGCTAAATCAAACAATAAAACACGAAATCAAACCTCTTTTTACAAAATATGTTTATTTGCAAACATAAAGTAGCTTTAACAAATGGCAAGCGTTCCTCTACATTCAATGGTATTTTTGTATATATATTTATATTGATTTACACTATTAAGTTACAGATAACGGTACATATACTATAAAGCTGCTTAACCTATTTTATTCCATTCAGAAATGGAATAAATGGAATAGAAATGGAATAAAATAGGTTAAATAAAATAGGAATAAATGGAATAAAATCAGAAATGGAAGAAAATAAGTTGAGCAGCTTTACTCCAAGCTGATTAACTTTAAAGCTTCGTAAGAAATCAAAGTAAAAATTATATGTATTTAAGACTGATCCCATACCGTCAATTAAATTGACGAGTAAAAATTTAGAGTTATTATACCAATTGAAAATGTCAAGAAGACTGTATACATATTATATACCAACTGAAAGTATCAGTACGTCAAGTTTATAAGTTATATTTCTATATATCTATATATCTATAGCAGATGAAAGAATAACAATAAGTTTAATGCTTAATGCCTCGTACCCGCTTTACACAGGCTGAAGCTAATTGTTCATATTTACGCTTCCATTCGTTACATTGCATCTTCACAACATTCAACTCCAAACTTATACAGGCAAGTTCGTTTTCTAAATCTGTATTGCTCTTCTGTAAGCTGCTGGTCTCGTCAATCTTCTTCTCACGACACGACCGAGCGTACCCACGATTTTTTAAAGTTCTCCTTCGATGTTTGATATCCTGGACGACTGTTTTGGGTAGATATTTGACCCGTCTATTAAGTTCCTTTGTATCAAGAGTCATTAACTCATAATCAGCGATATATTCGTTGGTATTGATCGGAGGTGACGATGGTACTTCGGCTTCGGGGCTCGAGACTGGACTCAAATCCTCAAAGTCTGTTGGAAATCGTGTTTCGCTTCGACGATTTCTTGTTTTCGCATTCCGATTTCTACCGCGTCCTGCCTCGCTGGACAATTGCATCCTCGTTTTGCTGGAAGCCAAATTCGTGGTAATGAATTCGGCAGCGCCCATCGTGTCACTCAGTTTTGTTCTTTTAAGTTTTGGATCTGGTTGGATACATTCCATGTTTTTCAGTTCCCCTCCCAATCCGACTAAGTCAGACTGCGTGGGCTTCCTCATTCCGAAGTTCAATAATTCGACAGGTCGATCTAGAATATCTTGTTCTGTTTCATCAAATGCTTCCATAAAACTATCTATCTCGTCACTGTTTGTCAAAGTCTCAGTTGCTTTTCGTCTTTTAGGGCTTATTTTATTAGTCTCATTCATGAGGTGGTCAAGGTTCGAAAGGACGAAGTCTTCGCCGATAATTTGACCGTTATTCGTATCGGCTGCTTCCCTGCCGGTGAAGCCAGTAGGATTCTCGAGTAATTTGTCAAGCGGAGTGTCAACTATCCAGTTGTTCAAATGCGAAATGCTGAGTCCGTTAGCAAAATCTTCGCTGTCGGTTTTATCAGGGAACCCTTCGCTTGCACCAATTACCATTTCATTTATATCGACATCGATGCACCCAAACCGTTCGCCGTTTCCAACCGAAGTAAAGTCGTTCAACCAATCCGAAGTTAAATCCTGAAATGGAGTTTTCTCAGTACCATTATTGTTGTTCATTTCGTCTTCGAGAATCTTTGAATAGTCTGACTTATCTGCGTGAAAGCTTTGCGTGTCAAGTTGTGATACATCGAAGTCTAGTTTGTAGTTCACAATCGAGTTACAATCCAAACTCTGTGGCTCTTCCATTGTTTCTATGAAGTACTGTAGACGTTATAACAACCAAGAGTTTAGCAGAATGACAAATTTCTGAGTTTAAAATCGTTTTAAAATGCTGTTCGAATTCGCAATGTTCATGCCACGAAGTGCTTTAGGGAAATACGTTTCCCCCTTCTAGCCACCATTTTATACTTGCCGTCATGTGACTGTCATGTGCTACAGCATTGACCAATCAGCGATCCAGAATACCGCACGTGATTAAGCATGGCTGGTAATATATTGCTTCTGTATGGCGAAATGAATAATTTATTCAATTTAATATTCTCATGTTACAAGCTGTGCTTTGTAATTTTATTTATTGCATCATATATGTATAAATTCGTCTTTTTTCTGATAGTTGAGTTAACATTGTGACTTGACGATTTTTACCCGTCTAATTAGTCATCACATCATACAATTGTGAGCATAACCCTTGTTGTGATTTTAAAGTTTTAACAGATATTAAACAGCGACAATTTATGACCTTCTAAAAACCACATTTCTAAGTAATAATTCTACACTACGATAGCTTATGTTGTAGTACTTAAGAATATACGCAAAACAATCCGCTATTAAGCTACTGCAACTGTATAAATGGCCACAAAATCGGCCAGCTTGTCATGATGAAGTGTGTCATAAAGTATGTAATGCATGGGGTTCTGAATTAATTATCCGCTTGTACATGCAGAGGGAATTCCCCTTATGCGAGAGGCCTTCCCCGTTTTCGATATCATATTACTTTGCTCATATAAACCACATTTTCAACATTTTATCCGACATAAACGACCAAGTATTCCTTATAAACGTTTTTTACAACCATAATGCTTGAAGTTCTGTCTTTAAGGATATCAAAGTATCATCAATCTCGCGCTTTCCAAGAAGCATCTGATACAGTCGAAAAGGGGAATCTGATACAGTCAAAAGGAAATTCCCAAACGAAAAGGGATTTCCCCTCTATATAATACAGACGCGGAATTACACGTGGCATTCCTGTGTTGTTAAATCTCGCCCTTTTGGCTTGATCCCACCACAGCGAAATTCTTCGCGAAATTTGTGAATATATATAATTTTCGCACGAACAACTTACAAACTGACATGGGTGATTCCAATGAATTCGCTCAGCTTAACTTTTTTCACTTTTGCAACTAGAACAAACTTCAACGGCGAAATTATTTTTCTCGTACGTGAAGCCTGATATATCTTTACCGAGAAAAAGCGTTCGTGGAGTCAGTCCTAGAATGCGAAACGAGTTTCGACTTCCCTCCTTCCCATATGATTAACTTAAGGTGGCACAACTCTGTTTTTGGAAAATGGCATATTTAGTATTATTTACGGGTATAGATCCAAATTTTTGAACTATTAGCAATTTTTGAAGAGTAAATGGCCAGCAAAACTCATAATGAGCACTTTCAGTTTAGTTTCACGAAAAATGATGTCATAGACACAATTAGTTAAAACTTGTTTATACTTGTTGAAAGTGCTGCTGTACTTGTTGAGCCTGTTGAATGAAGTGCTGCTACCAATCAACATGCCTATTAGGCCAAAAAAATATCTGGGTTTCCGGTTTCCCGACCCTACCTAGCTTTTGGACGCGAAATCCTGACCCTAAACTTTTTATTGGATCATGCTTGTAAGTGTTTCCACTTAGAGGAAAACGTTTGAGGAAAATGGACTAAACAAAATGGCGTCCGGTTGTTACTAAAAAAATTAAAACCGACCTACCCTACCCAAGTTTTTACAAGAAGAAATAAGAAACCCACATATTTTTTTGCCTATTAAGTATAGAATAGAACGACACCAACCGTATAAACCGTTTGAATCATGCATCGGACCAGCACTCATTGACATGCATTGAATTGGACATTTACTACTGCGGTTGTTCAGCTTTGAACAATAATTCAAAATTTATAATTAGATGTCCCATATATTTTATTTGTACAGCCTATATACAGGGTGTCCTAGAAAGAACACAATACCTATGTTCCTTATTTTCACACAGTTAATTATGAATTTGCGATTGCATCACTAGGTCCATATACATCCATAGTATATATGGAAACTGCAATTAGTACGAAAATTGCAGAGCTGCCAAGTTCAGATGATTAAAAACCTGGAGGTTGTTGGGGCCTTTACTGGCTTTAGTTTGTAGTTCGTACCCCCCTATATGTGATAACAGTGATATCTATGTTATTTAATACATACTGATCATATAGCCAGACAGAGTAGCGCAGACAATGTTTAATACTGAAAAATATTGATCAAATTATGTATAAATTGTTGACCGGGCATGCTCTGGGAACCAGATTGCCATATATGCTTGTGTAATAAAAAACTGATAAGCCAAGCCCGTCCACACGCATAATTCACGTTTAGATTACGTTATACTTCAAGATCACAAAATCTAAGTTTACTCGAATAGCTACGCTACCAATTTTTTTTAACAAGAGTGTAATTTTACAAATACGTACGGATTTTCTTGCGAAAGAACAGACGGTATTTTCGCAAATTGTATTTTTTTCAGAGCATAGATGCAGAATCCATGCATAAAGGACCATTTTAGGGACCATGCATAAAGGACCATTTTTCATGGCATTCCGTGAGATTTTCAAGACCCACCGTGAGACCTGGAAGTCAACGCGAAAACCTAGGGACTCACAGGTAAACCGTGAGACTTGGCAGCTCTGAAATTGGATTTCCGGATCCCTATTATTTTCAACTAAGATCCATACTATTTCCATCATAAGAATTTCGAAAAACATTTCCAGCGATTGGTTTTACTATAGGCCAATCGTAACGATTTTATTGTCAAAATTCGTGTCTTAGATTAAAATTTCGATGGCTGACAATGAGCTGTGTACAAATGTCGGACATAGCTAATGCATTTTTTTCGGGAAACCTGTATAGCATCGTTTCGAGAGCAATTTGGATAAAATATGCACGACTGAGTTTTTCAAATACCATTGAGGAGACCGACCGGGAAAGTACGAAACTTTCACCATAGTCTATCAAAGATATGATTGTCTGGAAACTAAACGCTGAAGTCATTGTGTTACGTTTTTGTCTGAGACCCCGTTTAC